AAAGAACGGGAAAAGCCTTGGTGTGAAAGGGGCATATGATATGATGATAAGACATGAAGAGCACTCAACGTGTTCCTTCACCCTGCTCTTACTTAGAGGCGCTCAAATAAGGATTAGGTTATTTGGATATCACATTTAGCCCCAGGGCTGCTCTCTGAAAGCTTTAATTAATTTCTTAGTTCTGAAAAGTGTAATAAATCAGCTCCGTGGTCAAGTGTTATTTGATTCCAATACAGGGCTTATTATTCCAAGCCTACAGGAAGTCAATATATTCTTCTTTTCAGTGGCTGTTGTGATAATAATGTAATGTCTTTAAAACCCCCCCAAAAACTGGCTCTCCATTTAAAGTGCACATATCCTGCTATTTTTAGGCAATAGCATAGGTCTCAGATATATAAAAATTAGGTCTGTCAAACGATTACAAATTTTAATCCGATTAATCACAACTTAAAAATTAATTAATCATGATTAATCACCATTCGAACTATGTCCAAAATATGCCATTTATTTATGTATATTGTTGTGGGAATGGAAAGATAAATGAAAGAAGGCGGATATATCCATTTAACATACAGTATCTATGTTTATTATAACATTGTTCTGTGTGTCAAAATGAAAGTTAGCCCACACACCTATCAATCATCAAACCGTGGGGTCTTAATTCATTACGTGTTGATTTCTATCAACGGGGGAGTACTTCAGGAAAGTCGACAGAGGGGGGGGGGGGGGGGGCTAGTGGAGTACTTCGTGACCACAGAGTGTGAACGTTGTGATCAGCTGTTTTAGCGCAGTTCTCCAGTGAAAGGGGGGGAGTCTCCCTCCGCAGCCGGTTGGCGTAGTTTTGGCACAATTTCGTTGTACAGACCGACGTTAACAGCAGCCCTGTCTGTGCACACGGAGACCGACTCTGTCGTCCGGTGATCTAAGAAGTACGTCGGTACGCAAATGCGCTTTGTGACACAAGTGACGGTACGCATTTCAGATTACGCACATAACCTGCGTACCAGTTATGCGCACCCCTGTACTACAACAAAAGTATTCTCCGTCGGGACTTCCTGCAACAACACCACGCCGTTATCTTGATTCTGATTGGCCAGAAGACATTATCAAAGATGTTCTATTGAGAAGACGATCACTACGTGACAAACATTTTCAAAACCGTGGCTACTGAAATCAATCTTACTAACTGCTGTCTGTGCAATTTACTCCGCGCGAGTTGGCAGACTTTATTTTGCTTACTTTAACATAATTTTTCATGGTGGGGCTAAGCCATTTCTTGGTATGGGTGTAGCCTACCCCAGCCATACCCTGGCGCTGCCACTGGTGGAACATATGGGGCGGGCCATTCTGCACATAAGTTAAATGCGTTAAATATTTTAACGCAAAAAATGAATTACCGCCGTTAACGCGATAATTTTGACAGCACTAATAAAAATATATTAAAAACATGTCTATGAAGTGTTTTGCTCCAAATACCAAACAGATCACTCATTCTAGCCATATCCCTCTATTTCACTTCCTGTTTCAAAAGTGCTGATTTTGGGTATAAAGCTTAAAAAAATTGATAAAATAAAAAGGAGGGGGCTGAGCTCATGCGGGACCCAGCAGCTATTGTCTAAACTAAATGCTGCCGTGATGAAACGCCATATCATGGATTATCAAGGATTCTCTCTGAAACAGTTTGGAGCTCAAAGGCTTTCTCTCTTGCCGGTTATACCACAAGGTGAGTTCCTTTTTACTTCCTGCTTCTTCACACACATGCTCTCCAGTACAGGTTAGCTCTGAGTGTTAGCGATGCTAATGTAAACACCGACCATATTACGTCCAAAACAGTCGGGCATTGTTTCTGATGGCAACTTTCTGATAGGGCCGTGGGTCCACATTTCCGATATTACGTCATATCGGACGCAAATCTGGATCAGCTCCGTTGTAGCCCCGTTTTTAGAGATTTAGGTACGGAGGAAAAGAGAGAGGGTTTTATTTTCTGACGCTGCGTGAGTTCCCTGACACACCGGGGACACATGTTTATGTATAAAAGACATCAAAAAGTACATTTAGCATGATTTTAAAGGCTGTCCAAGTTTTTTACTTGAACAAGGTGAACGCTTCATTCACAAAGGTTTAGACCTGTCCATTATAATAATCACATATATCATAATATCAATTATCATAATAAGCATAATCACAAGTGCTTAATTTTGAAGCATTTTAACATCGCAGGTTCAGTTATCAAAGTGAGGGATAACTCACTTTTTTTCAAGCCTTTCTCTAGTCAGGGTTCTTACGGTCATTAAAAACCTGGAAAAGTCATGGAAATTCAAAATGCTAATTCCAGGCCCTGTGAAAGTTATGGAAAACAATATTTTTCCCAAAGTTTTGGAAAAGTCATGGAAATGTAACTAAAGTTGCATCAAATATAATTTATATTTGATCTAATCGCCGAAATAGTAATACTATAATGATAATAAATACTGTATCGTATAGTATTGAAACGTAAAATGTAACTGTCGAGGTATTTTGCTGGTGAGATTTTAGTTGCTTTAGCCTGTAGAAGCTAGTAAGCCTACTATTTGATTTTTTTAGATAGGCACAACATGCTTCATATTTAGACCTTATTTTCCTGTTCCATGTTAAAATAAACCATTTTCAGTGGTACGCTGAGAAAGAGTTATTATTTTGGTCATGGAAAATTAGGTAAAGGTCATTGAGAAGTCATGGAAAAGTCATTGAAAATCATTGGTGAAAAAGTGTATGAACCCTGTCTAGTCGAATAACAAAGACTGTTTTTCGTTGTGGGATTTGTTGAGCTGTATCTGGGAATATTGCCGTTTTGTGCATGCTAGAGATGTAAAAGGAAGATTTACAGAAACATTATTATGTATTGTGAGCGTCCTCGGTGTGTTAAATGTGTAATGGTTTTTCCACCAGATTCAGTCCTGCCTAGATTACAGATTTACAAAGGGCTCATATCTGTCTGCTTTTAAGTCCATCATTGTGTAGAGCCGTTAGATAAAAAGCATTCTTTACATTCACTATGAGTCAAAACATCGATCTTGATCTGGACTAATCCTGATTTTTATGCTCCATTACAGACATGAGTGATGTTGATAACAAAGCCGTTTGTCAGGATCTGCTTTAGAGATAACAATGTTATGTTCTCCACCACAAAATGTGCGCTTTGTTGGGAAGAAACTAACGATTCTCACGAAAGAAAGAAAGACACCGTTACCTAATCCTCAGATGTGACACGATGATGTGTAATATTCAACCTTGGATTATCATCAATGGCACTTCTAGTTATCATTTATTCTGCACAAGGACGAAATAATCCTTGATACTTATTTCAGACAGTAAAGCCAAGTCTCTACGAGTACAATCTGAATGATGGTTGGTGTCTACTTATTGGTGCTTATTTTCATTTTGTCCGATATCTCTGCTTATGTTTCCTATTTTAATCCAATTTTAGACTGAAGTAAGGGTATTTAGTGAGTGTTAGGTGTTTTTTTAGTAGGGATGGGAACGATTATTCGAAATGATTCAGGTATTCGAATATGAATATATATTTTGTTTTTCTTTTTTGGGAGGGGTGCCTAAGTTGATTACATATTATCAAATGGAATAATTCAATGTATACGACAGTGCCATAGCTAAGTGTGTTAGGTCTAAATGTGTGTTTTGCTCCACTCACCGGTCCCTGACAGCGGGCAGAGCTGCAGGTGCTGATCTCTCTCTCGCGTCCGGTTATACTTCACTCGCGTTTATGTCCAAATCCATCAGATCTAGCTAGTTCTATCTAACGATATGGCTGCTGCCCCTCCCTACACGCAGATCACGCAGACTCAAACCTCATCTTATGCCCAAATTCCAGCTGAGAGGGTCTTCTCTACAGCTGGCCTGATTGTAAATCGCCTTCGCACCCGCCTCTCGCCTGAGTAGACATGCTCATATTCTCAAACAAGAATGAGTATTGAATAGCTGCATTCTGTGCTTAGGCCCTGTTATAGGTTGCTGATCTCTGTTGTAATAGGGTTACGTTACCCTAACCCGTTATGTTGTTCGTGTTTGATCCCTCTTTCATTTGAAAACCAAGTTATGTTTTAAGCATGAAAGCTGTAGGCCAACTGTTCAAACTGTGATCACCAGCTCAATACATTTGACAAATTCGACTTGGTTTCTATACTTATTTCAACATGTATTTATTTATTTTTCAAAATAAAATTTTAAAATTTTTAAATTTTGTAAAATCTTTTCCCACATTTTCTTTTTTATTATAGGATATGTACATTTCGGTTAATCTTGGGGGTCGAATATTCGAATATACATTTGCTTTCAAATTCCCATCCCTATTTTTTAGCCTGTAATGTTGCTGTAAAACACACACATGTGTTTGTAGTATTTCTTGTAAATACTTTCTGTTTAGTGTCTAGGCACCTATTTTAAAGCTTCAGATCGTTCACCCGGTTCTCCGATTTCACACAACTCCCTTTATGCCTCTATGATTCTTGTGTTTTTAAACTGTGTGTGAAGGAACACATTGAATTGCGCTGGCCTTTTAGTATTCACATCCCTGGAATGCTAAAACAAAAGCCCATGAATCTTTAAAGTATGTGAGACATATTGAACTCGTCGTAATTGAGACAGTTTCAGACGTCTTTAACCTCGACCTTGATGCTCAGGTTTTATCATCCGGATAGATTGAGGGAGCGGAGGTAAAACCGCGTGGCCCGTTCAACCCTGATGGGACTCTGATAGTTATCGGCAAGGCGGAGGTCTTATCTGTCTGGAGCTCTCCGAGGAAACTTGGCTCAAAACACATGCTGCTCTAATTGACCTCAGTACCCCCATCACTGAGTCCTCATCCCCCATCTGCCAGAAAGCATAAAAGAAAAATGAAAAATACTGCAGGTTGCATTTACATGAAACAGCTTTTTATTAGTGTTGCACAGAAATTACGCAACAAGTAATCCATTAAAGATAATGTATTTTTCTTGTCTTTGCAGCAACAGGTGATAAATATATCGGGGGCAGTTGCAGTCCCACAGATTCAACCTGTGCTCAAGCAGACAGCGCTCAGTGCAGAAGCTGCAGACCAGCCCAGAATCCTCTACCAGTGTGGGGACTGTGATGAACTTTTCAAGAGCCTGGACCTTTGGCAGCAACACCGTAAAGAAGAGACATGTCAGAGGTCAAAACCTGACTCACAGCCTGAGCCCGAGACCGCTTCAGCTCAGAGCTCAACTTTTAATCCAGATGATTGTTCGGAGATAAGTGTAATCCTTAAACCTGAACCAGAGGAGACTCCTGTTGGAGAGGAAGAGGAACTGGAAGAAGGGCAGCTCGTTACAGGGGGCTCTGATGTGTCTGAGGCGGCCCCTTCCACCTCTACTCAGGAGGATTTCTCTCCCAGGAGGAGAGGAGTGAACAAAAAGCCCAAACCTGAGCCCGTGCTCCTGTGTGTGGACTGCGGCTCTTGCTTCGGCCTGGTGTCTGAACTTGTGTCCCACCGCAAGACCCAGCACGGATTTGAGGAAGCTCTGCACCGCTGCTCTGTGTGCGGAGAGAGCTTTCTGAACACCACACTGTTCCTCTACCACCGCAAGCAACACCGGCAGAAAGGCGAGGAAACTGTGGTCGGGGAGGATGCTTGTCCTCAGGGAAACGGCACTGAGGAGCAGGACCAGGATGTAGCTGCTTCCATGGAAACTGAGCCTTCAAGTTACACACAACCAGAGTTATTCATGTGCACCCAGTGCGGGGAGAGCTTCAACAACGAGGGGGGGCTGGGAACCCATCGTAAGCAGAAGCACGATCTAAAGGAGCCACTTCACAGCTGCCCCCACTGTGGAGAGAGCTTCATGAACACTACCCAGTTCCTGTACCATCGCAGGCAGCACCGCTTCACTTCAGGCACGGAGGAGGTGGTGGATGGAGTTGAAACGAGTGAGGAAACAGTCGAGGCTTTAGCTCAGGCGGCAGTGCAGAACTCCAAGCGGCTGCTCTCCCCCCTCGCCTCCGCTAGTGAGTCAGGATCACCCCCTTTTAAGAGAAGCAGGCTCTCCTTGAGGATCCTCAGCGGCTCGAGTCCACTCAAAGGTCAGAAAATGATTTGATTTTAAATTGCAATTTTCTTTTTTGATTATTTAACTTTTTGGATTTTCTTTGAAGTCAAAATTAATGTTCAAAAGAGCCAGAGAAGAATGGAGTGTGTAAATCCTAATGTAGTGTAATGTAGATAGATAAATGTAAAGTAATTTGCTTAAAGGTGGGGTAGGTAATTCACTTCAGAAACACTTTTTGTTATATTCCATGGAATGCTCTTAACATCCCGATAGCAATGAATATATTAAATCCTTTGACAATAAATACATTAAAAAAAAAATTCATCTGTGGAAGCCGTGGCGCTGTAAAAAGCACGACCAATCATATGAGCCGGCCCGGCTAAAGTAACTGGATGGCCTACCTGCCTGTCAGCCTTCCATCTGTGCACACACTTATCTCGTGCCCTCATTGGTCATGTGCGCTTTCGTGTGTGTTGGAGGAGGGACTCTGTAAGGAAGTCTGAAGGAAGGGGCAGATTTTTTCTGGTTGTGTATTTTCAAATTCTAGCGCACTCGAGCTGGTTTCTCCATTCTTACCTACCCTACCTTTTAAGTGTATAATGATGTATAGATACAACAAAGTAAGAGAACAAAATACAACTATTTATAATATAATGTATGTTATTATGTCCGATTAGATTAGTTGTTGTTTGAAATGTTTTTACGGTTTTTCTTCCACAGTTTGTTTTGAACGTCTTTGTCTTCACTACATTAAAAGGCATTCGGCCTACGCTTTACCCAAAGTGACTTACATCCACTTCAATACGTTGAACCGATTGAACCAGTGACCTTATTTGCAGATCTATCTGTGTATTGGTATTCTGTACATCAAACAATATATAAGATTGATCAGCTGACAACTGACTCATTTTGACAGGCAGCAGATTGATTATTGATTATTGCTTTAAACCCCGTAAAATCATGTCATTTATTATGGGATGTTTTTGGCCTTAATGAACAGTTTTGTGTTTGTCAGGACTCAAGGGCATCAATGATGAATCAGAGGTCGGCACTGCGGCAGACTCGGACCACACGAACCACCCCCCGCCTGCCAAGCTGCTGCAGGACTGGGCCCGAACCCCGCTGCCTCACGTCTGCCCGTACTGCGGAAAGACCTTCACCCGCAGAGTCTTCCTGCGCACACACGTCTACAGCCACACCGGAGAAAAGCTTTTCACGTGCAAGGTGCCAATCTCCATGTTACCATACGATAATACTTTATTGGTTTATCTGATATTTGACTTGCATCACAGCAGCTCCATGTGTAACATCAACATGGACAAATGTCAATACACAATACATGAAAAACAAACATTTAAAGGTCACCTATTATGCAAAATCCACTTCTTCATGTCTCTTCTACATCAACATGTGTCCCCTCTTCTTCATGTCTCTTCTACATCAACATGTGTCCCCTCTTCTTCATGTCTCTTCTACATCAACATGTGTCCCCTCTTCTTCATGTCTCTTCTACATCAACATGTGTCCCCTCTTCTTCATGTCTCTTCTACATCAACATGTGTCCCCTCTTCTTCATGTCTCTTCTACATCAACATGTGTCCCCTCTTCTTCATGTCTCTTCTACATCAACATGTGTCCCCTCTTCTTCATGTCTCTTCTACATCAACATGTGTCCCCTCTTCTCCATGTCTCTTCTACATCAACATGTGTCCCCTCTTCTTCATGTCTCTTCTACATCAACATGTGTCCCCTCTTCTTCATGTCTCTTCTACATCAACATGTGTCCCCTCTTCTTCATGTCTCTTCTACATCAACATGTGTCCCCTCTTCTTCATGTCTCTTCTACATCAACATGTGTCCCCTCTTCTTCCTGTCTCTCCTACATCACCATGTGTCCCCTCTTCTTCATGTCTCTTCTACATCAACATGTGTCCCCTCTTCTTCATGTCTCTTCTACATCAACATGTGTCCCCTCTTCTTCATGTCTCTTCTACATCACCATGTGTCCCCTCTTCTTCATGTCTCTTCTACATCACCATGTGTCCCCTCTTCTTCATGTCTCTTCTACATCAACATGTGTCCCCTCTTCTTCATGTCTCCTCTACATCAACATGTGTCCCCTCTTCTTCATGTCTCTTCTACATCACCATGTGTCCCCTCTTCTTCATGTCTCTTCTACATCACCATGTGTCCCCTCTTCTCCATGTCTCTTCTACATCAACATGTGTCCCCTCTTCTCCATGTCTCTTCTACATCAACATGTGTCCCCTCTTCTCCATGTCTCTTCTACATCAACATGTGTCCCCTCTTCTTCATGTCTCTTCTACATCAGCATGTGTCCCCTCTTCTCCATGTCTCTTCTACATCAACATGTGTCCCCTCTTCTTCATGTCTCTTCTACATCAACATGTGTCCCCTCTTCTCCATGTCTCTTCTACATCAACATGTGTCCCCTCTTCTTCATGTCTCTTCTACATCAACATGTGTCCCCTCTTCTTCATGTCTCTTCTACATCAACATGTGTCCCCTCTGTGGAAAGAGACTCTGAAAGTTTCAGGAACAAAGATTCTCTCTCTTTTTGTCCTGATCCATTTCTATAAAAACCTGTCTGAAAATGAGCTGATCAGATTTTGGTCACTTTATGATGTCATAACGATGTGTTGTCTTGTGTAACCATCAGCCAATCACCAACCAAGGTAACAACCCCCCCCCCCCCCCCCCCCCCTTATCACCTGAATCTCCTCCTAGAGCACCATTGAGTTCTTTGTAACCAAATCTCTCTCAGAGGGGCATGGGGAGGGGCTCCTTATTTTCATCTAAAGTAACAGACAGAGAATCAGCACTTTGGAAACAGGGCTGAAACAGAGGGGATTATGGGTAATGCTGCAATGATCAGTTTGATGTTTCAGCCAATCAGAGACAGGCTCTGTATATATCTGAGACCTGTAATATATTGATGAAAAACAGTATAATAGGGGACCTTTTAAAATAACAACACAATCATTGAGAGAAAACATTGCGTGCATTTGATCTGGGAGCTCTGCATTTACTGTGAGGATTGACTGATGCACCGAGGAGTGCTTCAGTCTGACTTTATTGAATCGAGGGACCCTGTATCTCCATATGTATGTTCAAAGTTTGTCCTTTCTTGAACATGAGAGATAATTGTATCTGTTGGAAATGCCATGTACGTCATGCGGCAGAGATAAGAGAGATGATGTAATGCTTTTGAAATGTGTGATGATTTGAACCTCATTATATTTGACATATTCTCCATGGTCTCCGCACGATGCTAAGAAAGTGATAATATCAGCAAGTGTAGCCTTTTACAACTTGATTTATTCCCTTACAAAAACTGTTTTTGGCACTGATCCTGATTGTTGTTGTTGTTGTTGTTAAGGTTTGCACAAAGTCCTTCACTAACTCCCAGAGCCTGCTGCGCCACAGCATGAGCCACACGGGCAACAAACCCTACAGCTGCGACGTTTGTGGCAAAAACTTCTCTCAGGCAGCCACCCTGAAGAGACACCAACGCATTCACACATCCACCCTGCCTCGACGCAAGAGGGGACGCAAACCGGTACAGTCCCTTTCCTTTTCTCTTATTCTTTCTCACATCATTCAAACAAAACTCACCTTTTCACTCTTGCCTTCAACTCCTAATCCACTAACCCCTCGCCCTTATTCCTCCTAGCTTAACAACTTTTGTTGTTATTCTGTTTTACTTGCTTGTAAAGCGCTTTGAGCACCAGGAAAAGCGCTAGATAAATGTAATGTATTATTATTTATTATTTGTAATAAAACGCCTCTAAATTTGAAGGAAAACGCCTCTAAATTTGAAGGTAACGCCTCTAAATTTGAAGGAAAACGCCTCTAAATTTGAAGGGAAACGCCTCTAAATTTGAAGGAAAACGCCTCTAAATTTGAAGGAAAACGCCTCTAAATTTGAGGGAAAACGCCTCTAAATTTGAAGGAAAACGCCTCTAAATTTGAAGGAAAACGCCTCTAAATTTGAAGGAAAACGCCTCTAAATTTGAAGGAAAACGCCTCTAAATTTGAAGGAAAACACCTCTAAATTTGAAGGAAAACGCCTCTAAATTTGAAGGAAAACGCCTCTAAATTTGAAGGAAAACGCCTGTAAATTTGAGGGAAAACGCCTGTAAATTTGAAGGAAAACGCCTCTAAATTTGAAGGAAAACGCCTCTAAATTTGAAGGAAAACGCCTGTAAATTTGAAGGAAAACGCCTCTAAATTTGAAGGAAAACGCCTCTAAATTTGAAGGAAAACGCCTCTAAATTTGAAGGAAAACGCCTCTAAATTTGAGGGAAAACGCCTCTAAATTTCAAGGGTTTAATTTCGAATAAAACATTTTTTTCAATAGAGAGCTGCATACATTTAAGCATATTAATTAGGACTGCAGAATTTGAAGACAATGACTAACTGGTATAAGTATTTATTTTAGTAGGCTCTGTACCAAACATTTTAGTTTAGTCTGTAGATACAACTGAAAATCTCTGCAGAATCTTCCCAATACTTACATTACTACTGCATTAAGGACTTTAAGGTTTTATAATGTGCTTCTTCCACATTTAGTATTCATATTTGGATAACATTTTGATTATCTCTGCAGCTCTTATATTAATCAACATTTGCTGTGTGGAACTGATTCTAAGAGATGCACCTAAATGTGTTTTTTATCACACTTTTGGAACCTTTAAAAATAATAATAAATACATATATTTTCGGCTGTAAAATCATGTTTTTTCTTGATTCTGTGATTTCTGGCTTCTGTGTCCCTTATTGTAGGCGTGTACTCTGGACAGTGAAGGAGCCGCTCATCTGTTCCCGTGTCCTAACTGCCCGTCACGCTTCAACACGGAGGATCAACTTAACCATCACAAGTAATAACACAACAACAAAAACACTTTAGTAACACTAGTCTTTCTCAGAGGTGGAAGAAAAAAGGAAATACTCAAGTAAAGAATCTCACAATTGTATTTAAGTACAGTACTTGAGTAAATGTATGTAATTACTGTCCACCACTGGTAGTTTAGCATTCTGTATTTGCAGGAGTGTAGGTGTAAATGAAAACAATACATCCATTACATACCATACATTATATTCACCATTTCCCCTCCCTGTTTACGGCGTAAATACATCAGCATTACGGTTCCAAACTGAACCCAGGACAGGATTTAGATAAACCTCCAGCCTCTGCCCGGAGCTTTAGTATCTGAGTCGTGTCTGACTGCTGAGCGAGACCTTACAGCTGTGGAGAAACCCACCGACTGAAATGTCTGGCTGCCCTTGAGACACATATGATTGACAGACAGAGGCCCAGCAAATTAAGATGATTAAGATAACAACCCAGGACGGGGGCAGAGCCTGGTCCTGTCCTGCATGGCTGAGAGAGAGGCTGAGAGAGAGAGAGAGGCTGAGAGAGAGAGAGAGGCAGAGAGAGAGGCAGAGAGAGAGGCAGAGAGAGAGGCAGAGAGAGAGGCAGAGAGAGAGAGAGGCAGAGAGAGAGAGAGGCAGAGAGAGAGAGAGGCAGAGAGAGAGAGAGAGAGAGAGAGAGAGAGAGACTCCTAATGTTACCACGGAACCTCAGTTTCGCCGCTGTTCAGCGCCCCCCCGTCAAGGCTCGCCGGCAGTACACTTCCCGTCACAGGAACACGCTTTGCTGGCGGCAAAATTAATCCCACCAGACTCCTTTGCCCCTCCAACAGAGGGACGTCCTTTTTCCTTTTCGTTATTTCAAGCGATAAAAACTCTTATTTATTTTTATTTTTATTTGGACGCCCTCGGCTCGAGTTCAGGGCGTTCTGAGCTGAATAAGGGCGTCAAATGACGGCAAGACGCCCCCCTGGGGGAAACGCTGATTGTAGCGTTTTATATGTTGGCTTCAAGAAATACTGATAGCCATTCTATGGGTTGATTATCATCAGTATTGTACTATGCAACTTTAACCAACACTCTTTCACTTGAATACACACGCCGTAGCAAACAATGTAAATGTAAACACGTGTGGCCGTTATCACATGGAAACACTGCGAGCATCACAGGGTGCTCGTGGCATTTTATACCTTTTTTACTTCACCTACTCTCAGCGCTCGTGCATGTTGAGTCTTTGGGACCAATTGTTTCCGACTCAGGTTCCTTTTTTTAATCGTAGCATTCACAATTCAAGTATTCGTTTCTATTACATTGCATTGTGAATAATAAGGTGCTAGGTTAAAGCACAAACTTTAGGCTTTGAAGTGTGTTTTACCAGCAGGGCCATGATCTAGATGTAGACATGAACTCTGTCAAATTAAATCTGAAAGTTGTGAGTTTCCAGAGTTTCATGTTAAATCCAATGTTATGGAGATCCAAGAGCAGAAGAAGCCAGAGCTGCCCAGAAAGGTTTTTTAAAACATATTGGTCTCCATTTTCTTCTTCTCTGTCTTGATATTGACAGCCTAACCAGTGGCACATTCTGGAAACCATTGAACCACATGTCAACAACACTTTCACGTTTTTACAGTTAATCTGCAAATCATATTTTTATGAATTGCCATTTATTCGTGTGTAAAAATAACAACCATTGATTTATTAGTGTGTCCTTAAACAGTCCAAAAGTCAAGGTCCTCTTACAAGCTTTTCACAGAGCTTCTCACAGTATTCATCATGAAGTGGAGTTCACTCTTATGTTGAAGGATAGTTAGTACTTTTAGCAGCTTTCACACCAAGTACTTTGCTGTACTTAGTTCCCAGCACTTAGTTCCCCCATGGAACTAGATCGCGTTCACACCGGAATAAGTTCCCTGAGGGAAGATTACGCAGATGAAGCCGCTGACGTCACTTCTTCTTCTTCTTCTGCTTTGGGTTTACTGGCAGGCCGCAAACAACTTCACGGCCTATACTGCCACCCAAAGTCCCCGAACGGAAGTCCCCGGAGTTGGGGACTGGCTTCAGTAGAAGCTGCTGGGACTCCCAGCAGCTTCTACTGAAGCCTTCCGAGTAAATCGCCAGAACGCCGACACCTCCTCATCTCCACCGCTCCCATGTTTTCTTTTGTGTTTCCATAAGTTATTCTCTCTCCGTTGGTGCGCGGGGCTAATGCTAATAATGCTAATGCCAGCAAATAAAATGGCGGCTTCACAAAACCTTTCAGAGTTTTTACGGGGCGTGGTTTGCAATTCGCCCAGCCAATCAGAAATTTGAGCTTTTTTCTCCCCAGGAAAGTACCACCTCTCTAGCAGGGACTGAAGAGGGGGGAAAAGTTCTCTTTTTGGTGTGAACGCAAAATCCCAGGGACTATCGCAACTAAAAGGGAAAAGCACTCCAGTGTGAAAGCGCCTTTTGTGTTTCATTCCCAAGGTCAAGAATGAACCTTCAGTTGTCCAATTTGCTTTTCTGTCTTAAAGGATGAACAAAAGCAGCTTCTTCACATTTGACAAGCTGGCGTGTTGGCTTAAAATGCCTTAAATGATTCAGTGATTATCAAAATTGTTGCTGAATATTTTTTGCTGTGGGCCAACAAGTGGATTTAAACGAGTCAACGTAGAGCTAAGGCTGAACACAGTGTCACCGCTCCTCATTAGAGAACATCTGTCTGGGAGAAGAGGTGACCCTGGCTGAAATGTTAATCCTCCCAGTTGCCTCAGGGTCAGCTGTCCCTGAATTATTGATTCCTCGTGTCTCTTAAACAGGGAAAAGAAACAGCCTAGCCTCGAATCCTGCCAATGAGAGGTCCTCGCACATCACCTCGGGCATCCTGCTTGACTTTAAATGACTCACACGGTTAAGTGCTTCTGCTGCATTACCTGTAGCAGTATAACATACATAATAAACAGATATGCTTGTGCAATATCTAGAGGAGCATTATGGTTCATCACTTATACATCACCCTTGTTCGTTCTGATTATGAGAAGCCGCTCAAAGAACCAGCTTTTTATTTATTTTTCTTGATGCAGCATAAGGTGAATTCATCCCAACACTTCTCTCCTCCCTTCAGGCTGTATCCACTGTAACGTTATGCAATGGATAAATATAGTCTTTCATGTCCTTATTCGGACTCCTCCCAGTTAACTGCTGGGTTTTTATTCAGTTTTTTGATCTCCGCAGCAGTCAGCTAATGCCCCTTATTTAACCTGAGAACAGCTAAGCACATACTTACTGGTAATCCTCCGACGAGTCTAATATAGGGTGGAAGTCGAAGATTAAAACACAACTTTTCCCCCTCATTATTGCAGATTTATGTGTCTTCATTTGTGACCTTTTAAGTCTTAAAACTGTGTAATGCAATTTTTTTTATTCAACACTTTTCGGCCTCTGTGAGGGATTTTTGCTATATCTGTTATCGAGTCCATGGGATTCTTTTGAAACAAGTTCAGTCTGACAACTCACGTGTTTCTTAATATGTTTATTAGAAGCAGCATCTAGTTTGAGTTTGGCGTCTAGGCTCAGGCCTAATCACAGATTTACAAAGAACATGAGTGATGATTAGATAACTATCCCCGAGCCTACAGGTGGAAGCTGGGGTGGAAGCTGGGGTGGAAGCTGGGGCGGAGCTGGGGTGGAAGCTGGGGTGGAAGCTGGGTTGGAGCTGGGTTGGAAGCTGCGGTGGAAGCTGGGGTGGTGGTGGGGTGGAAGCTGGGGTGGAAGCTGGGGTGGAAGCTGGGGTGGAAGCTGGGGTGGAAGCTGGGGTGGAAGCTGGGGTGGTGGTGGGGTGGAAGCAGTGCTGGAATTGGGCCGGTACTCACCGGTACGCAGTACCGGCACTTCTGGTTCTGACCCATGGAGTACCGGCACTTCTTGCTCAGTACCGGCATGCTGGTGGTACTCCGGTACTCATGCACCGTGCCAGTACTCAACACTCTCCCGCCGTTCTTATTATACATCCATATATATATATACAGCCGCCCGGTACTCAGTAGATGCGTCATGAAGTGCCGAACGGACATTCTCATCGCTCTAACCGCTGGAGTTTCACAGCGGCTGTCAGCTGTTTACTCCTGTCATTCAAACAGAACGTGCTGGAGAGGGGGCGGGGCTTATCTTCTCCATGTAAATACTGTGGTGGAAACGACTATTTCAAAATTAACCTATTTGACCGTGATTTAATAGTAATACACGTTTCAAAATAATAATAATAATAATGCCGAAGTAACAACATACTGAAAACTGTTAGTAAAACCATGTTTTAATGCTTTACAATTTACATACCTAGATGCACGTGTGTTGTGTTTATGCAGTGCAACTCCCACCCAGTGGGTGGCTATGTAGAGTGATAGAACAGAGCAGGCACGCCCCCGAGAGAAGGAAAGCAAGTCACGTCACAAATTAGCATTTCTAAAAATGTTAGCGTGGATTAATAAAAGTGCAAAAAGACAGCGGTTGTCGCCGGAAGAAACTTCAAATACAGAGAATGCTGTGTCTGTGTTGGAAATTGTGTCTGATGGGGAGCTTTCTTTGGTTGATCCTCCTGCTCCAAGTTCTAGTGCATTAGCATTAGCACTAGCTCCGCCGCCTCCTCCAGAGCCTCTAACGTTAGCTGCTGCTGGCTCAACTGCCACCACCAACACCGGGCAAAGCGATGCACCTGACTGCTGGACAACGGACCAGGTGCAATATTTTTGCAAGACCAATGCATGGCTCCTTCTTAAAGATAAGAAGCTAGGATGTCGGATATGCAGAGATGTCAAATCTTTGGGAATACACACTGGACAAGGACTGAAACTGTCAACTGAATGGGGTGAGTGTGCAGTGTCTCATTTCGGTGTTGACAAGAGCAAACAACAAGCTAGCCTGAGAAAAAAAAATCAAAGAACATAAAGAATCACAAGCCCATGTAAAAGCTGCTGACATCCTTACATCTGCTTCACGTGAAACTATTCAACATCAAGTGCAGTCTATGCATAAATCTGAATTAGACACCACTATCAGAGTTTTTCGAACGACATATAAAATTGGCAAACATAGCCGGCCATTCACAGACATGCCAATTGATTTGAATGTACAGAAACTGAATGGGCTGAACGTGGGCAGGGTTTTGCACTCCAATAAAACCTGTGGCGAAATCATCGACCACATAGCTCATGAGCTGAAGAAAAAAATGGCAAAAGACATTACAGAAAACCAAAGAAAACTCTGTGTTTTGGTCGATGAATCTACCACTATTAGTGGTAAAACGGTGCTTGTTGTGTGTCTACGCTCAGCATTAGCTGATGCTGAGCCCGAAACGTTTTTTTGGGAGCTGATCGAGTTGGATGGAACAACGGCTGATGACATCACAAAGGCGTTAATGGAGTGTCTTGGAAGAGATTTTAACGAGGACTTTTTAGGTCAGTGTTTCGTTTCTTTTGCATGTGATGGGGCTTCAGTCATGCTAGGGAAGAGAACAGGCGTTGCTACCCAGTTGTGTAGTAAATTCCCAAGCCTGTTTGTGTGGCACTGCTCCAATCATCGGCTAGAGCTGGCAGTTGGGGATGTGCCGTGGTCAAGGAGGTCTCAGGGCTCAATCATTTCCAGATCTTTTTTGACAAACTCTATTCCTTGTTCCATGCCTCCCCCAAAAATCAGAGGCAGTTAGCGCAGTGTGCGCAAGCAGTCGGACAGCGTCTCCTGGTGATAGGGCGTGTTTTGTCCATCCGCTGGGTGGCTTCAAGTGAAAGGAGCGTCAGAGCAATCTGGGAAAACTACCGAGTGCTTCATGATCACTTCACAAATGCTGCAAATGACACGAGCAGGGATTCCAGAGACAGAGCAAAGTACAAGGGCCTGGATGATGTGCTCACATCTGCAACGTTTGTCAGCAATCTGGGACTGATGTACGATGCGCTCACAGAGCTCAGCGACCTCTCTCGGCAACTCCAAAAAAGAGAGATGACACTGCCTACAGCAGATAGGCTCTTAACTCGAGAAATACGAGTTTTGGAATCCATGGTCACCATGCCTGGCCCACACATGACTACAGTTCATACAGCTCTAGCTGAGAAGTCCTTCAAGGGTGTTGCCCTGCGTGAGAATGGCAGGCTTGTACAGATTCATGCAGGTCAGTTTTTCCGCAGTATGGTAGAGAATCTGAGACACAGAATGACTTCCACAACCTCCTCTCATGTCAGCACAAGAGAAATCCCATTACATGGCCGGGAGGCCCGGGACAATCAGCTAATCCAGGACATGAAAGTTATCCATCCTGGAAGTTGGCCTGAAGAGGAGTTAGACGTACAGTATGGGGACGTAGAGGTGCTACGTTTGTGCGAAGTGCTGAAAGTGGACAGAAGAGAGACTGTTCAGGGCTTTCGCGAATACAAGGAAACCAGGGCATCCCGTACACCTGCTGCCATGGAGCCTCTACTGAAAGCAGTCCGAACCATCGCTGTCTCCACTAGTGAGTGTGAGCGGGCATTCAGCTGCATGAACGATATCCTTACTGCAAAAAGGAATGCTCTCTCTGTCAGCCGACTGTCCAGCCTGGTTTTCATTAAATGTAATGGACCATCACTAGGACAGTTCAATCCGGAACAGTATGTGAGGTCCTGGCTGGCAAAGGGAAGGAGAAGTGCTGATGAAAGAGCCTGTCCAGCTCCAGCCCCTGATACTGATGTCCCCAAGGCCTTCTGGAGCCTTTTCTAACAATGTGAAGTATATTGCAAAGCAGCTCACCCAGTGAGAAGACTTTTGGCATAATGTGCCGATTTGTACAGATCCTGGAGATAGAAGGACTTCAGACCAACCAGGGAGTTATCTGATCAGCTTGGTGTTCAATGTAACTCTTTACCATGGCTCAGACTTTGTTACTTGCAGTTACAGTTTCTCATTTTAGATTGTGCAAATTTTGCATTTGTTTTTACATGTTCTTTGTTCATGCTCTTTATCATTTTTCTGAGTTGGAAAGTTAGATTGCATCATAGTTTACTTTATACATATTTGTATTCTTCAGTGGTGAAGTATATTGCAAAACAGCTCAGCCATGTGAGAAGACTTTTGGCACTTTTTTCGTTTTTCGTTTTCTGAGTTGGAAAGTTAGATTGCATTCAAAATGTACAGAAATACTTAATTTTGTTAAAGCTTTTTATAAAAAATGCTTCTGACCAGAGCTTTGTTTCCTTGTCATTAATGTTGAACACCACCAGAGGGGCTCTCACCTGAAAGGTCTCTGCTTCATGTGTCTTCAGCAGAAGATCTAGACTTTGATTGCTATATTTTCAGTTAATATTGACCTTACTGAGCTTTAGCCATATCCGCTGCCTATCATAAAAAATGTTAAGTACAGTGAACCTTTCTAAAATATACAGTAGTAAAGAGACAACCCCACCAGCATTATAGTAGCCAAATTCTTGTTTGTGGGCTGTATATATAAAATTGACTTGAAAAAGTTGCTGATTTTAGAGTACTGGCACCTTTTTCATTCCAATTCAAGCACTGGGTGGAAGCTGGGGTGGGAGCTGGGGTGGAGCTGGGGTGGAAGCTGGGGTGGAAGCTGGGGTGGAAGCTGGGTGGAAGCTGGGGTGGAAGCTGGGTGGAAGCTGGGGTGGAAGCTGGGGTGGGAGCTGGGGTGGAGCTGGGGTGGTGGTGGGGTGGAAGCTGGGGTGGAAGCTGGGGTGGAAGCTGGGGTGGAAGCTGGGGGGAAGCTGGGGTGGAAGCTGGGTGGGAGCTGGGGTGGAGCTGGGGTGGAAGCTGGGGTGGAAGCTGGGGTGGAAGCTGGGTGGAAGCTGGGGTGGGAGCTGGGGTGGTGGTGGGGTGGAAGCTGTGGTGGAGCTGGGGTGGAAGCTGTGGTGGAGCTGGGGTGGAAGCTGGGGTGGAGCTGGGGTGGTGGTGGGGTGGAAGCTGGGGTGGAAGCTGGGGTGGAAGCTGGGGTGGTGCTGGGATGGAAGCTGGGGTGGTGGTGGGGCAGGCGAGCAGCAGCAACATGAAACACAGCAGGAACATGAACGCAGCAATAGCAAGTGAACACAGCAGTGGCAGCATAGCGAGGCAGAGGCAGGAAGACCTGGCAGCTTAAATAGAGCGGCATGTTTAGGAGACTGTGTTTGGTTGGTTGTAAGAGGGACGAGGTGCGTCACGTGTTAATGTATTGGTACTCGAGTTGACTGCCTGAACTAGCTCGCAGGCTTCGCCCCATTTATGTGAAAATGTGTGTTTTTATTTATTTAACAGATTGCTCCACACCAGCCATCCGTTTCCTTGCGAAGAATGTGGAGAGGCCTTCAAACGCAGGAGAGACCTGGACCTGCACTCGCTCACGCACCAAGGTGAGAGTTCAGGGCTCAGTCTAGCATTTTATCATTCACCAAAATATCTTTATAGTAAAAAGGAGAAACTGGAAGCTAACAGAAATGCACAGCAGTGTTTTTCTCTGTAACTAACTATTTATTTTTCAGCCTTTTGTGTCACATATGTCACATCATTTCCTCCTTTGTGACTTTTACCTTGAGACTAAATGTGAAAACATCAACAAGTCAGCATATTGGAATGAATTTATAATGTTACATTCATTATTCTATAAAAGAAGACCTGTCTCGTTTTAAAATGTAATATTTAATCACATATGTTAAACGTATTCATTAATTCAACCAGCTCCAAACTATTCGATTAAAAAAAGATTTCAGAGAGACTTTGATTGAATTTGAGTTTTAGGTCACTGCTGTCTGATTGCATTTATTTAACATTTGCCCAATTATAAAGATTTATATTCTAAACTTCAGTTATTTGATATCAGAGAACACTAATGAAAGTTTGGTCTTGCTTTAGAGGAATATGTTGGTTGGTCTCCTTGAAAATAACACACAGCAATAACAAGTGTACTAGATTATTATTCTGATGATGGGCAAATTCCAGATATACATTGAATTCACAGGTAAGAAACCACGCCTTAATAACCTTTATCAACGTCTTCAAACAATGCATTCAATCAATTCACCTTAATTTACCTCCATTTTTGTTAGCCTTTACTGTTTGGGTTTTGGTTATATCACTTTGAAGTGTCTGTCAAAGCACTTTATAAACTCTTTATTTCAATAGGGCTATATATCAGAATCAGAAATCCTTTATTAGTCCCACAGCGGGAAATGTACATTGTTATCGCAAAAGTGGCATATATGCAAAAGTGGCATAGCAGGCATGCAATGACACAGAATAAGCTAACATTAATATATAGAAGAGTAAACGGGTTATTGTATAATAAGCAAGCTATTGTTGACACCAAAAACTGTCTGCATCTGAATCACCAGCTCTTTCTGTATGCACCACCTGCTGCTTCATGATTGTTGTTACAACAGCCAGTAATCAACAAACTCAAATCAGTAGCACTGCCACTAACACTAAGGCCCCATTTACATGGGAACGCAAACGAAACGCAAACGAACCGAATTCGATATCAAAAAGTCTTCCGTTCACACGGATACGGCTCAATAAACGTGTCCCTTCACACGAGACCGCTCGACCCGCTGGAGACACTGTAGTGCATATGCCGGGCCTGTAAGTGGCGCTGTACTTCCGCCACAAAATACACCAAAAGCAGCGAAGAAGACCCCCGAGCATGGTTGCCATGGTTGCCTGGTTGCCCTTCTGTTTATTCTCCGAGGTGGATTTAGCAACATGTAGTTCATGTAGTTCTCCATGTCCACTTGTTTCTGATGGTTGTGGTAGAGGAGCTGTATATTTTGCACTAACATCTGTAGCATGGTCAGTAGCAGTAACACTAGCAGTAGCTACTAACAGTAGTTACAGCAGTGAGCAGCAGAGGTGGGGCTATGGCTTCATCATTATCAGAAAGATGATCGTATAGGACGTACACACGGAGCCGTTTGGCCCCCCAGAGTGTTCCGTCCGCAGATCTATCCACCTTGGGAACCGTTATCGTTATTGATATACCAGGGCGGGCCCACCCCGAAACTTACATTTCCCGGGAAATCTGAATTGCCAACGGGGGGGGGGGGGGGGGGGGGCTGTTAGACGCTCGAGATTTGTCAACGGGGAGGGGGGGGGGGTGAGGGAGGGAGGCGCTCGTGAATTGTTGTTACGGAAACAGAGGGGTTTTAGGTTGCCATAAGTTGTTGACGGTCTTATTATAGGCTACATCCATTGGTTGGTTTTGTGGCACTTTTGTAACGCTGTGCCAACTTGGGCAAGCACGCAGGCAAACTTGAGGAGCGCACACAGGGTGGAGAGGTTGAGCGATGGAGAGAAAGGGAGAGAGAGAGAGATTGAGCGAGGCAGAGAGCGTGTGCAGTGGTCTGCTTGCGCACAGAGCAGGAGTTTGTGAGAGAGCCGGCTTGAGAGTCAATTTCTCTTCAAAATATAATTGATTGCCAGCCTCCCTTGTCCCTGGCTGGCTTGCTAGCTCGTTGGTAACGTAACTGATGTCTTCTAATGTGCCTGCATCTGGCGCTGAGTTGCCATATTCCTTTCATGAACCACTTCCTGATATCCATTGTTGCAGATAAATGATAATAGCCAAACTAACCTATAGAGTAAACTGACAGGCTGCTGTGCCGCATCTCACTCAAAAACCCACACGACTCAACCCAGCGAAAAACCAGACTCGCGCGCAGCCTTTCATTCAGAATTTCATTCAGAATTTCATAGCAAAATTAAAAAATGATATTAAACTAATCTTTCAACATAGTTTAAAACAAAAATAAATATTAGGACAAAGCCCTACAAATAACAACAATAAACATAATAATAAAACAATTAAAATGTTGTATTCAGCCCTGATTAAAACAGCGGGCCCAAATCCTGGATGGGCGGGCCCGGCCCCATGGGGTCCGCCCATGACACCGGGTCTGCCCTTTTGTACATGTGAGGCCCTTCCAAGGTGTCTTTAGAAAGAAAATCAAGAGCCTCTCAAAATTGATTTTCTGCTCGACGCTCTTGAAAAGACAAGATATTAGTGCAAGTAATAAGGAACAGAATAGACCATTCAAAAAACATCAAGAAATCAGACACAGGCCAGCTTGTAATAGAAACCAATTAGACGTGATGTTTGCATCATATCAGAACAGCGTGCAGTGAATTACTATTGATTAACACATCGCTGCTCCACTCTGCCTGGGTGGCCTATCTTGTTTTTTCCACGTTATATGACGCATTAGGTCAATGACTTGCCATTGATCTGCGTCCCATATGTAGCGGAGGAGCAAGGTGGAGGTAAATGAATTGGGTCAACATGTTGGCTCTTCATCTTAATCAAACGGGGCGTTGGCAGGGCAACCTCCTTAGTTAAACTGGAAGAGTCGGCGTCAGAGAGATGATTGGAGGGATTGATCAGTCCCCAGGGCCATAGGCTGAGACTGTCCGTAGTCTAGGTTTAATTAGAGAGTCCCAGTGGGCAGTAGAGTGGGTCGCCCCCAGGACAGACAGTACAGATGGTTAGCAGATTGCAAGATGTTGGCGACCTACAGACACGCTGATGAACCATCAGTGTCAGCGATTTCTCCGCCAGATCCTCAAGAGCAACACAGTGAGAGTGGGCTTTACTCTGCCAAAATACAACCAGGGCAACAGCTGATCGCAGCGGAAATGATTAGCTGATTAATTGGTTAACCGACTGACAAGAAAATCACTTAATATCAAGTAACAGGACCAAGTTTTTGATTGTTCTTGGTTCTACGTTGTGAGGACTTTTCTATGTTTTAAATATATATGCACATCTTCATAATCAGTGTTTTCTCACCAACAGTCTAACATCTAAGAATATATATTTCTTTTTTAGTACGTTTAAGCCGAAGGAATAATAATTATTGGACGGTCTGTCATTGATTGTATTGATATTTAAATTAGTCTGTGAGAAAAAGGGAAAAAAGGCTCGCCACAATTTCCCCAAAGTGACTTCTTCGGCATTCTTGTTCTCTACGACATTCAAGAATCTGAATATATTTGATTTATTCTATAGAAATCAGAGAAAAGAAACAAACCATCGCATTGAAAAAGTAACAAGTGTTTTGCTCCAAACTAACCTAAAAAATGAATAATTTACAACCCGTTTAAAAGTCAGTAACTTAAAATCAAGAATAAATGACGAAGATGTGCTGATTCTCAGTTCTCAAGAGTGGTCATTTTTCTCAATTTTAATATATTTTTAAATGTAATATATTGAGGCTTTGGAAATAAAAGCAGATTGAAGATGTCACATTGGATCCTAGTGAAACGTTCTGAGACTATGCTGGCTCAATTGATAATGGAAATAATTGTAAGTTGCAGCTCCAGGAATAATGATTATTGATGAAAGTGTCAATGACTGTATTGATTAGACCCTCCAGAAAAACGCGGGCAAAAATCCTTGATTATGCGATTAAACATGCAGGGTTTTTATGTGATTTTATGCGGTGAAATTGCGGAAAGTTGAGAAATATGCTAAATATATATTTTGAAATATTTTGAAATATTAAATATTTTAAATAATATATATAATAATTTAATATTTCAATAATAAATATATTTTTTAAAATATTATTTATTCTCTCTCACACAACCTGCCATTAACGTTAAACCCCTTTACTATTCAATTAAACACATTCAATGTTTATTTATTGTAAAAGCAATAGGGCTATTTTAATCACACACACACACACATACACACACACACACACACACACACACACACACACACACACACACACACACACACACACACCACACACACACACACACACACACACACACACACACACTTCTCCGCCTCATTCTGTTTTTCGAAAGGGTTTTGGAGGTTGATAACTCGGTGAACGTGAGTTGTTTGGCTTTCTTGTCCGCAGCAGCAGAAAGCATTTTCGAATGTTTGAATGAATCAAAGTGGGTCGTCACAGTCGATTTTCTCTTATATCTCTTATGTTTTCAGCATTCCTGTTTTGTCCCAGCACGAGTTCAACATCCAAATTAGTTTCCCTTTATTATTTGTATCAAGGAAAACATTAAATCCTTACTTTGATAATGATTTTACTGTCAATAAAAGCAGGTGTGTCATTTATATTCTGTCAATCGACTAAACCATTAAGTCGCCTTTTTTCACCGCAGACATTTTAACTTGTCGTAGTTAACATTAACGATGCCTCCTTCCTCTTTGGGAAGTGTGTCTCAGTGAGTCTATAACTGAACATTACTTTGATTATTTACACCTGTTTTTCCTGCCGTGACGTGTCAAAATTACTTTCCCTTAAAGAGCCTGTGACACGAGTTTCCCCCATCATCCAAACCCATCAATTTGAGTAAATATTGTCCCCTTGAAACCGTTACTGAACTGATTTGGGATATTTGTACTTTGATAACCATTAATCTCCCCTTCAATGTAGTAGCACTAACACTAAGAAAGTGGATCACATCACTCCTGTTCTGAAGTCTTTACACTGGCTTCCTGTGTGTCAAAGAATAGATTTCAAAATAGTGCTGCTGGTTTATAAAGCTTTGAATGGTTTAGGCCCAAAATACATTACTGACCTCCTGCTAAATGATGACCCATCCAGATCTCTCAGGTCTTCAGGGACTGGTCAGCTTTCTGTCCCCAGAGTCTGAACTAAACATGGAGAAGCAGCGTTCAGTTATTATGCTCCAAATATCTGGAACAAACTCCCAGAAACCTGCAGGTCCGCTGCAACTGTAACTACTTTTAAATCCAGGCTGAAGACTTTTCTTTTTGTCGCTGCTTTTAATTGAACTATTCACTTCTTAAACTGCACTGTAACTTTTATTCATGTATTTTTTCTTTTAATGTTTATTTTATTATCTTTGCTTTTTAATGACCGTTTTTAAATGCCATGTCTTTCATTTTTGTAAAGCACTTTGAATTTCCTTGTGTTGAAAGGTGCTATATAAATAAACTTGCCTTGCCTTACCACAGTAGCCACTTGTAGTTTGAAGACGGACCAGCTGACTTAAACCTGACTCTGTTCCATTTCAGACAAGCAGCCAGCGACTTGTCTTCACTGTTCAAATCAGTTTGTGAACCAGTCCGTTCTGGAAATCCACATGCAGCGCTGCCCCTCCACAGAGGATGACAAGAACACGGGGCGTGGACGAGGCCAGGGCCGAGGACGATGCACCGGACAGGTAGGGAACACTAAAAATAAATGTTCCTTTGCTTTACAGTGATGCAAATGAGTCGCTTTTCGGCACCTCCCGCTTTTTTAACGCTGATTTGGGTGACTTGTGTAATTCGTGGAGAACCGAAGAGTTTTCGTTGGGGGGGGGGGGGGGGAGTCTCGTCTGAAAGGAGTGTAGACTAGAGTGCTGACGGAACGCCGCTCCAGCTCTTCAAATATTGCAGTACCCATAAGGAGCCGTACACATGCCGCAGTGTTTGCGTGGCTGTGTCTTTAGTTGTAAGCACAGTGGCGATCTGTTGTTATTAGCATCTGGTTAGCTAGCTATGCTAACGAATTTAAAGAGCTTTTCTACAACCAGGTGGAAGAGCTCTCTCCTGAGAGGCTCAAATAACCTCAGCTCAGTGAGGTTAAGGCACACCTTGATATGATCATTATAGTTATTAATGAGACATTAGAGACTAAATGAAAAACAGGTATAAAATATTATATGACAGTAACAAAAAAGTTGTTAAAAATAACAAGAGTAGAGTTTAAAAGGGGAGTGATTTGTAAAATATCCAAAAAGAAAAATCTGTTTACAGTTCTATTTCATATGGGTGTTGAGAGATGTATCCATAGATCTCCTCATGTTGCTCTCAAAGTGTACCAGATTGATGCTTTTAACTTCAATATTTAAAAAAATAATCTTCCCCGGGGAGCATGCCCCCGGACCCCCCTAGAGGAGGTTAGGTCCCCCCCCACTTAAATCATGTTCACATGGATAGGATACTAAATACATTTGCACACATCTTGTGTCCATATCTTTCTGTTTTGGTGGTCATGCCACACCGTGCACATGCATGCATGCGTGAGTCATGGTGAGATATCTGGATTCAGAGGTTGCTTTTTCTTTGCACAGCATGAAAGAAAGGCGAAATGAATGGGCTGTGATTTTAGTTTTTTTAAGCAGAGGTTGAGTTCAATCATTTGTACGGCCCTCGGAGGATGTTGTAAAAATGTAAAGGAAAAAGGTTCCCCACCCCTGCTGTAAATAATAATACAAACAGATTGATTTATAACTTAACATCTCTGTCTCCTATTGATTTGAGTATATTATGAAGAATAGCAGTTCATTGAAGCATTATAGCACAGGCCTTTCTCAGATGGTATATTACGCTGTTTTGTTCTGCTTCGAATAGTTCTCTCTTTTTTCACCATACCTGTGTTTGCATCACTTTAAGGTTGCTCTTTTGTACATGAAGATTTCAACCCTTTTTCTGCATTTCAAGTTTCATTCATTGATCCAAGATTTAAAAGCTTTATTGTCATATGCACAATAGCTACAGCAAAGTTGTTGGCAAGGAAAATCTTAAGTCCCAGGTTACTCCAAGGATGCAACGTAAGACACAAAAAGAAATAAAAATAGTGCCAAAATAATCAGAAACAAGAATAGGAAATAAAAAAGGGAATGGTGAAGGTGACACAGTGGTGCAAGTAAAATGCAAAAATACGTACTATATACAGTACATGTAAGATAAAATAAAAAGCTAATATATATCTAAATAATGTAAAGTGTAATAAAATACTGCATACATAAATATTTAGAATTTTTTAAAAAGAAATCTGGCAGGAGATACCTTTTTTTCCTCATTCGTTTGTTGAGAGTAATGAGCCTGATTGCACTTGAAATGTTCTGTATTCACTTCATACAAATGTTTATCGTTAAAAATGATGAATTATAGTTTATCTAGAGCAGGGGTGTCAAACTCAAGGCCCGGGGGCCAAATTCGGCCCGCGACTTCATTTCATGTGGCCCGCAAGAGCTCTGAAAGAATGTAATATGTTTATTATACGGTTACATGCCGATTTACAGATGCACGATGTCCATAAACTACATGTCCCACAATGCATCTTAAATTAGCCTTTTTTTCTCAGAATTTGCCTTTTTTTCTTCAAAATATACCTTTTTCTTAGAATTTGACTTTTTCTTAGAATTTGACTTTTTTTTAAAAATAATTTTGTGACATTCTCACTGAAGAGACTTGCACTTATTTGCCCTGGACTTCTGCTTTCAGACGTAGTTAATTATGAAGTTTTTACCCTATCCGATAATAATCCAATGCAGAGGCAATAATGTAATATAATACGTTATTTTATATATATTAAATATTTATATATGTATGTTTATATAGTCTTAAAGTTACAATCGGCCCTTTGAGTGCAACCATAATGCTGATGTGGCCCGTGATGAAATATAGTTCACACACCTGATCTAGAGGATGTATGATGCAGGTTTTGACTTCTCCACTCTAAAGATATTCATAGCGTGAGAGATTGTACTTGTTTCATCCTTGTTAGAAACATATCTGTCACTTATGATTTAGCAGAGCCCATTATGGCATTTTGCCAATCCAGATGGGAAGAAAGTGGGGTTAGCAAGAGGGGGACAAACTGTGACATTGTGGTTACGTATCAGTCAGACGATGAAGACGCCGACCTTTTCTCTTTTCATTAATTGCCCGGCTCTTTGTCCATTCTCCATCTCCTTATTTCACATTTGTATCTCTTTTTCTCTTCTCCTTCAGGTTGAGTGTGACCTATGTGGCCACCGCTGCATGACTCAGGAGGGCCTCGACCTCCATCGGTTATCCCACACGGGCCAGACGCCTCTCAGATGCCCGGTGACGCCTTGCCGCCGCAGATTCACCTCCGACAGCACCCTGGAGGAGCACGTGCTGGCGCATTTCCAGGGAGCGCTCGGCAAGTCCAAAAGCCGACCCCGCTACCGCTGTCAGATTTGTCAGAAGGATTTTGCATACAATTCCACCTTCAATGTTCACATGAGGACACATACTGATGAGAGGCCCTTTGAGGTAAGAAGAGTGGCTGTGTGTGTATTCCTATCAGCCCTGTGAATCATATTTTGTCCTTTTTTTAAACCCTGCATTCAAACTATTTAATGCTTGTATTTCAAATTGACACCCAGCACTGCCTCACCCCCCATGGACATACCCGTTCATATCTGTGGCCGTTTCTCCCGCACTGGACCATGGCCATTTGTGCAGTGTGTGTCCTGCGGGTGTTTCCTCCCTCCCGTGTACCTGTGATTAATGACGGGCTGAGTTAGGGCCTGTCAGCTCCCCTCTGCCTGTTACTATTCTGGGACTCTCTTCCCCTCTCCCTCAGTTGCTCTGGTGACGAAGCAGGACATCAACTATAGACCCACCCAAACCCATCAGAGAACTGAGACTGTAGAAATTGATTTAACATGGGTGGCTTTGCTTTGAGCCATTTCTATCAGGCATGATAAGGATCGATGTTCAAGGAGTATCGGTCCTCAAACACACTGTTATGGGGATGAATTTGAATTCAAATCAAATTTACTGTTAGTTTCTGAAGGAACACCAATATTTACTGAGTATATAAAGATCAGACTCAACGGCAAAGGTGATTTTATTAGAGTATATCTCACAGAGATATTGAAACAACAGGGATTACTGATTCAATCTGAGTGTCCCCAGTGGGAAAAAAAGCAGAGCACACAAAGTCATTCCTTTGTAAGGCTTCAGATTTAATCAAGTATCTGTTTGTAGTTCATTGTCTGCACTCAGGTGTTGGCAAGCAGAGAGACAATCTTTTCTTTGTGATGTCCACTGTGTAGCTGATCATTCTGTCCCTTGAGGCCGGACCATACAACAAGATTGTTCACATTTTACCAGATGTTGAAAGTTGTGAGAGAGCCAGCACGTTACAACATGTCATGATAACTTCTGGCTGTCCTCGGGGTCCCACAAACACACAACACGATCGTAAATTAACAACATGTTTCATTTTTGCGACCGGGTGGACTCCCAAGCAGATGGGGGGGTGTAAAAAACACAATTAACATTCACTGCGTCAGATGAAAATCTGGCAAGATAATCTTTAGAAGCATTAAAAAGTGAGGGCTTTGCTCATCATGTCAGAAGGAGGGAATCGGGCCAAAACTCTGCCTTATTCTCGTGTAATGTGTATCGTCACAATCATTTAGTTGTTTATCTGAATATTAACCTTCACATTTTCTCATAATCAATTGATTTATGAATTTTTTTAGGCAAAATCTAAACACATGCCTGTTTTCTATGAGAGTAAACTGAATATATTTGTGCTTTAGGATGTTTGGAGGCCAAAAGAGGATCTTGAGGACAGATCACCTTGACTCTAGGGCATTATAACGCACATTTCAAAAAATAATTTCTGATGTTTTATTGACCGAAACGCTCATTGATTCATTGTCTGAAAATAAGGCAGATTAATCGACAATGAAAAGAGTTTTAGTTGCAGTGTAAGACTCTTTTGTCTTTTTTATTGCTTTCTATCTCCCCCCCCTTCTTCCCCCAAATCTCTCTCTCTGCTCTCCTCTACCCCTGCAAGAAGTGCTGCATCTGCAGAAAAATATTGGTCTCCAGAAATATTAATTATAGTACACTTTTGTGCATTGGCACTGAACATAACTGTACTTTCCTGCCACCTTCTTACATTATCTATATTTCTTCTCTTCCCCATCCAGTGCGCCACATGTGGGAAGCGTTTCCGGCAGCTGCCCCACCTCCAGGACCACGAGCGCATCCACAGCGGCCTGCGACCTTTCTGCTGCTGGATTTGTGGAAAGAGCTTCAGCGTGGCAGCCCGGCTCACAGAGCACGCCCGCACCCACAGCGGGGAGAAGCCCTACCCCTGCCCCCACTGCCCCGCCGCTTTTCGCTCGCGCTCCAACCTGGATAAACACATCCGGCTGCACGGAGACCTGCCTTTGGAGAGCATTGAGGAGGCGGCGCAGGCAGCTGAGGCCGCCCACGTCCAGAAGGTCCTGGAAGGGGCCAAGGTATGTGTTAGAAAAACATCACTCGTCACCGGCTTGATCTTAAATATCAGGATGTATTTATTATCCTTGCAAGAATGGAAGTAGTCATCACACACAAAGCTGCATGGGACAAAATAGTTCTCCGAATAGTGTCCTTGGCATGCTTATATACAAGAGAGTGTTACAGTCACAAGATGCAGGAATACCGGTTCAAAGCAGTGTTCTGGCCTTAGTTCAGATTAGCTAAGGCCTGCGTAAGCAATAAACATGACTGTCATATGCCTATCTCCCTTCAGTCATATGCCTATCTCCCTTCCTATCTCCCTTCAGTCATATGCCTATCTCCCTTCCTATCTCCCTTCAGTCATATGCCTATCTCCCTTCAGTCATATGCCTATCTCCCTTCAGTCATATGCCTATCTCCCTTCAGTCATATGCCTATCTCCCTTCAGTCATATGCCTATCTCCCTTCCTATCTCCCTTCACTCATATGCCTATCTCCCTTCAGTCATATGCCTATCTCCCTTCAGTCATATGCCTATCTCCCTTCACTCATATGCCTATCTCCCTTCAGTCATATGCCTATCTCCCTTCAGTCATATGCCTATCTCCCTTCACTCATATGCCTATCTCCCTTCCTATCTCCCTTCAGTCATATGCCTATCTCCCTTCACTCATATGCCTATCTCCCTTCCTATCTCCCTTCAGTCATATGCCTATCTCCCTTCACTCATATGCCTATCTCCCTTCCTATCTCCCTTCAGTCATATGTCTATCTCCCTTCAGTCATATGCCTATCTCCCTTCAGTCATATGCCTATCTCCCTTCAGTCATATGCCTATCTCCCTTCCTATCTCCCTTCAGTCATATGCCTATCTCCCTTCAGTCATATGCCTATCTCCCTTCAGTCATATGTCTATCTCCCTTCAGTCATATGTCTATCTCCCTTCAGTCATATGTCTATCTCCCTTCAGTCATATGCCTATCTCCCTTCCTATCTCCCTTCACTCATATGCCTATTTCCCTTCCTATCTCCCTTCAGTCATATGCCTATCTCCCTTCAGTCATATGCCTATCTCCCTTCAGTCATATGCCTATCTCCCTTCAGTCATATGCCTATCTCCCTTCACTCATATGCCTATCTCCCTTCAGTCATATGCCTATCTCCCTTCAGTCATATGCCTATCTCCCTTCAGTCATATGCCTATCTCCCTTCAGTCATATGCCTATCTCCCTTCCTATCTCCCTTCACTCATATGCCTATCTCCCTTCAGTCATATGCCTATCTCCCTTCACTCATATGCCTATCTCCCTTCCTATCTCCCTTCAGTCATATGCCTATCTCCCTTCACTCATATGCCTATCTCCCTTCCTATCTCCCTTCAGTCATATGCCTATCTCCCTTCAGTCATATGCCTATCTCCCTTCAGTCATATGCCTATCTCCCTTCACTCATATGCCTATCTCCCTTCCTATCTCCCTTCAGTCATATGCCTATCTCCCTTCAGTCATATGCCTATCTCCCTTCACTCATATGCCTATCTCCCTTCACTCATATGCCTATTCCGATTTCGATTCCGGTTCTGCTATCGATTCCGGTTCTTATCGATCCCGTCCCGTTTCGATTCCAAAATTGTAAAATAAAGAGGTCAAACGTTTAGATAACAAAAATATATTTATTCTTCAAAGCTTTAACTGATAATTGTTACTAAAAATATACATGCAATACAAATGTATTGCACAATAGCTGTGCTTTATTTTAACTGAGCTATGCCGTGGCAAGCTATTAACAGGCATTACACTTTGCCTTTTCTTTTCTCTTTTTAGTGTAGTGGATGCCTCACTTCAGAGCGTTCCTACCGCGACCTATCTTTGGTGTTATGAAGTGACTGAGCTCGTGAATGAAATGTCCTACGGGAGGGGCGGGGGAGCATCGCTGCGGGGCAACTGTGGACCTCTGTCGCCTGTCAGCGCAATTTATATGATGCCGTTTAAAAAAATGAAGGGCGGTGCCGGCCGTCAGCGAACCGAGCCGGCCGTCAACGGCACGCTGACGACCGGCCGTTCTGTGATTCTCCAGGTCCGCCCTGTATTCCACCGGGTCACCGCAGCAACGCGGTGCAGACGGACCCGCTGGAATACAGGGTCTACCGCGTTTAGGAACCGTTAAGCAGAACCGAAATTGTGTATTTTGTATGGGTACCCGGTACCCGGCATTTTCTTATCGGTTCTCATCTGGAACCGAGTTTCGGTTCCCAACCCTACTCATATGCCTATCTCCCTTCCTATCTCCCTTCACTCATATGCCTATCTCCCTTCCTATCTCCCTTCAGTCATATGCCTATCTCCCTTCAGTCATATGCCTATCTCCCTTCAGTCATATGCCTATCTCCCTAGTGTGTCATCATGTTTAATCGTAGGAACATAGCTATCGTATATAATAATAATAATGCATTTTTATTTATATAGCGCTTTTCACAACTCAAAGACGCTTCAATAAATATATATGTGCTGTGTATTCATTTACATTTATATATATATAAAACAGTGTCTCATGAGCATCATCCATGTAATCATACATCTGGTTACGTACACAGTTACAGTTGGGCCTCTGTTATCATGTGCTACTCTGATATAGAAAGAGTACATTCAGTATTTTCCCAACAGTATGTTTTACATGTTATATTTGATATTGTTGCATCGACTCAGTTGTCTTGTGTCAGAGAGAAACCATTGTTTGTTTTGTTTTATTTTTGTTGTCGTACGTTTTACCTCCTTGTGTCTGTTGGCCTGGTCAGATGTTATGTTTCGCTGTGTTGTATGAAAAGTGCTATATAAATAAAGCTTTATTATTATTATTAAGGTGCTGTCCTCGCTGGCCTCCACGGGGGACTTCGATTCTGGCTCAGTGCAGACCATCTACGTGCTGCAGGGCGACGGAGGCACAGAGACCGTCATGATCCCCTCCGATCAGTTCGGCAACATAGACGGCACCTCGCAGGTCGTCATCCTGCCCTCCTCTGTGCTGGGAGGGCAGGGCATCAACGTTCCCACCATCACCATGGACGGAAACGAAATCACCATGGTGGAGACGAGCCAGTCGGAGCAGCACGCCATCGAGTTCATCGTGGAGGAAACGGTGTAATCGAGACATTAAATACTATTTTCAGTAGAGAAAAGGCTGAAAGAGGAATTGACTGTTGAGTTCAAAGTTCGAGTTATTACCATAAATGTATAGTTTGATTGTTTGACTGTGTAGCAAAATTATTTTACAGCTTGAGAGGAAAATCTAATAAAATTGTTCAAAAAAATAAATGATTCAAAAGTCATAAATGAAATGCTCAAGAGAACAGCAAGTACCTTAAGTTAATATTTCAAACTGATTGGAAAACAGGTCATAAAATTGGCCCCTCGATTATAAAAAGACATCGGAGCCCCCTTTTTTATTAGGGGGAGACAAGTGGTGTTAGCCCCTGAAATGTCTATTGCTTTCTTTATAATATAACACTTCCACTTTCACACTTGTAAGCATCCATCAATTTATAAGGTAGATGACACCGGGGCATTGCCCTCATCCTGTCAGATGGGATGGACTTTATAGGTCCTGCTGTAAATTGCCACTTCTGCCTTTTGACAAACATTACGAGGTCCTTTACTGAGAAATATACTGACAAGTCACTGTCCAGCTTTTCAAACCACTCAGTTTCTCTCTGTCACACTTATACTCGCGAAAAGGTAGAACGAAGTGCTGTTTGTATAGATCAATCGTAATGTTCCAATAATTTGTAGGACATTGTGTTATTGATTGCATTTGCCTTGTAATTACACACAATGATAACAGGGAGATGGCAAGATGTACGATGCTTTAGCTGAAATACAGCGTTATGCAGTGGCAAGTAGTGCAATGAAATCATCCAGCACTTGCTGTAAAGTTATCAAAAATAATGATCCTATTTGTGTCTAAATGGGAAGAGGCATAACGATATAAGTTTTGCCAGCGCTGCACTAGCCCATTATACGATTCTAAAGCGCAGTTTATGGCTGTCTCCTACCCAGTGATTGCTGACAGGGGGGTTTGAAACCACACACACACACACGCAGAGGCACTCAGTCTTAGTTTGTTTTCATGTCATGGAGGGAGAAATGCTGATGATTGTGATTGGTACTGAATTGGGAGAAATGGCAGAATATCTGCAGAGTGAGAGGCATATTGGGAAATAGAGGACACCACAGGAGCGAAAAGAAGCCGGTGCCAAGAATTTAGATGCTCCTCAACGCTCAGCCTGAGAGAGTCAACAAGCAGCCAGTCGAGAAATTCATGCTATTTCCACCCTTCCTAGAAAACCTTGAGAGGTAATATTCTGGTAGAGTGCCGTTTATCATACCTGCTGCCTAGCGGTGAAAATGAAAGCACCACACACACACACACACACACACACACACACACACACACACACACACACACACACACACACACACACACACACACACACACATACGTGTAATGAAATTGTGGATGCTGGAGGTGAAATCATGAGACTTGTATGCTCTAGGGATGCTGCCTCACTGAAGTGTATTGGTCTTTTTGCCGTACAGACGGCACTGTATGTTCATTACTTTGCTCAGATTTGACAATGTGGTTTCGTTTTTTCACTTCTTGTTCTGGGATCCGGGCCGTTTCTCAATGTCGAGTAAAGCTGTTCCAGAGCCACTATTTCAAGCATACTACGTCATCGAGTGGTGCCGAAGGACTGTTTAAATGCCCAGCATACATGTGCTACCAAGCAAGCCTCCTCGACATTGAGAAATGGCCACAGTTTAACTTATGGCCCTTGGTGTGATTTTAACATAACATTATGATGTCAGGACTTGGCTGACATGTCCTATCTGGTTTCCCTTGTTATGTGTGACCAAAGTAGTTGACATTTACAAAGAAATGCAGCTGTGAAGTGCACATATAGTAATATAACATTAGTCAAGGAAACAGCAGTTTTATTATAGAAATGTCCTTGGACTGATACTTTTTTATTTTATTATTTCAAGGACCCTTCAGTTAACAGAAAATATGTTTAGCTGTTAAATGTTTAACTGAATAGCTTCTCTATTTTGCACTTCACTGATGAAAATTCACACAAACCAATATGCAAATAAATGATTCATAATCATGCATGCATATAGCTGAGAGGAATATAAACTACTGTGTATGCTTGCATGTGCATAGTTTCTACAATTATGTATGTAAATTATTCATGGCATTTGTAGGCAGTGACATTTTTTTTTTTTAAGCTTTTAATACAACCAAATGAAATAGACAATTATGCAGATTCACAGGCCGTTAAATAACCATCAGATTTAGAAGTGTCCTTATTACAAATGAAAACAGGAGAAACAAGCACACATGATATAGCTGCCCTCACCCTGGGCAACGCTTTGATTCACACATCTTTTTATAACACAATCACTAAAAATACCCAAGTGACCCTCAGGAGAGAAATGTGCGTATTCAGCTCTCACATCAGTAAACTCGCTGACATCACCGTGTGCCTGGCAGGTGGAGGACACCGTTTCTCAGGCTCATTTGACACCTCCAGGTAAGAGGACATTATAGTATATGAAGGTGATACACATGTTTAAAACGGTTGCATGTTGCTGTGAATTTTGAGTGTGGCAATATTTGAAGTTTTCTTTCTGTAGTCAGCCAGAGATGGAAGAATGGCTCAGATATTGTACTCAAGTAAAAGTAGAAGTTCCACAGTGTAGGAATACTCTGTTAAAAGTTAAAGTCTCGCAATCTAAATGTTATACTACTGTAGCATCAAAATATACTTAAAGTACCAAAAAAGTACTCATGGCCCTTTTCAGAATTATAAATGATGTGAAGCTAATTTGTATTCCTTTTTAAAGTTCAAGGTAGCTTGTGGTTATACTCCAGGTGTAACAGAAGTCTTATTTAAATGTTGAATATATTTCACATCATTAATCCAAGTCTGCAGAGAAACTGAAGGTATTAAATGCAGTGGAGAAAAAGTACACTATTTGCCTCTGAGTACTAGTGTGGTAGAAGTACAAAGTAGACACAATTGTACTTAACTACAGTACTTTACTCAACTCAAGTAGGCCTACTGTAGTTAAGTGCATTTTTTCAACTGAGTGTTTGACACCGTTTCTCATGCTCATTTGACAACTCCAGGTAAGACAACAATTGTAGGATATGAAGTTAATATCGAGTCTGCAAATATTTGAAGTTTTCTTTCTGTAGTCAATGAGAACTTTTACAAATGTTCAGTTGGAAGAAAAATTGACGTTTCAACTGTTCAGCATTAGCTTAACTACTTTTAGCTAGCCTATATTTCAAAGACTTATCAATTTCGGCCATATGTCCACAACTTTTGTCAAAGCAAATTCGACCTATTAACATTACCTTCAATTATTATTAACATTTTACCATTACTTTTAGCTGTTCAACTTTGTATGCGAATATTACTTTTAGCTAGCGTTAGTTTTTTCTAGCTAACTAGCCTACTCAGGGTCATCTCTATGTTCCAAGGTTCCTATATTGTTGAATTGAACTAACGTTGAAAGAGATCTGCAGAGGAAGTAGAAGTATCAGACTTTAAGAATACTCTGTTACAAGTAAAAGTCCTGCAAGTCTTGTTACTCAAGTAAAAGTATAAAAGTACTTAAAGTACCAAAAGTTAAAGTGCAGATTGGCCGGTTTTTACGACGCTGAAGTTGGCTTCCGATTCAGAGCATCCGATTCGGCAGTTAAGGGTTAAATTAAGGGACATTTAATGTACAGCGCTGAGCGAACAATCCTCCGTGTTTGAACCTCTTAAATCGCTGCATAGCCGATTTATTTGGACTGGATTATCCCAGAGAGTCTAAAGATTCTTTATAACACAGTTTCAGATTTGTGAAACCTTTATTCTATTTGTGAAAATACAAAAAAGGGAGATTTCAGTGCTTTTTTCGCATCCTGACCACATTAGACCAGGTCCTGATCTAAAACCACTATACCTAGACTCATCAAATCTGGACTGGATTATCCCAGAGAGTCTAAAGATTCTTTATAACCCAGTTTGAGATTTGTGAAACCTTAATTCTATTTGTGAAAAATACAAAAAGGGAGATTTTGCTGCTTTTTTAATCTAGACCACATTAGACCAGGTCCTGATCTAAAACCACTAGACCTAGACTCATTAAATTTGGACTGGATTATCCCAGAGAGTCTAAAGATTCTTTATAACACAGTTTCAGATTTGTGAAACCTTTATTCTATTAGTGAAAATACAAACAAGGGAGATTTCAGTGCTTTTTTACATGTAGACCACATTAGACCAGGTCCTGATCTAAAACCACTAGACCTAGACTCATCAAATCTGGACTGGATTATCCCAGAGAGGCTAAAGATTCTTTATAACAGTTTGAGATTTGTGAAACCTTTATTCTATTTGTGAAAATACAACACAGGTGGAAGGCTGAGGTTGCAGCAGCAGGCCAGGATCAGAATCAGAGAGTGAACCTCCCAGCTGGGCAAGCCTTTATGCCTTCTTGTATTTTTTTTCACAAATAGAATAAAGGTTTCACAAATCTCAAACTGTGTTATAAAGAATCTTTAGCCTCCGTGGGATAATCCAGTCCAGATTTGATGAGTCTAGGTCTAGTGGTTTTAGATCAGGACCTGGTCTAATGTGGTCTACATGTGAAAAAAGCACTGAAATCTCCCTTTTTTGTATTTTCACAAATAGAATTAAGGTTTCACAAATCTCAAATTAGGTTATAAATAATCTTTAGACTCTCTGGGATAATCCAGTCCAAATAAATCGGCTATGCAGCGATTTAAGAGATTCAAACACGGAGGATTGTTCGCTCAGCGCTGTACATTAAATGTCCCTTAACTTTCCCCTTAACTGCCGAATCGGATGCTCTGAATCGGAAGCCAACTTCAGCGTAGTCCGGTTTTTAGAGTTATGAATTGTGTGTTTTGATTATAATGATTGATCATTAAAGTGTTCTCAAAGCTGGTAAAGGTACAGCTAGTTTTAATGACTTTGTATACTGCAGGGTAGCTTGTGAATTTACTCCAGGTAGAACTAAAGTCTTATTTTAGTGTTGATTATATTCCACATCATTAAACCAAATCTGCAAAGTAACTAAAGGTATTAAATACTTGTAGTAAAAGCATACCTCTGAATTGTAGTGAAGATAGAAATGTCCTTAGTTCAAATTCAAGGCAATGGTTTCAGTCAGGTTTCAATGTGTTTTTAACACCAGGAGGATGTTAGCTGCAGGGTGATGCCTGTCAACATATTGCC